TGTTGTGTTGTTGGTCCTCTATAGGTAGCGAGTTTATGAACGGGTTTTTCAAACCAAGTGTTCATAACGATGAAGTCATGTGTCAAGGCAAATTCAGTAAAAAGTTGGCGATTGTGCTTCTGAGTTTCACTTAGTTGCTCGATGGTAGATGCATCGTTTCTGTATATGTGTTTTCCAATGCTACGATTTTCACCCGGTAGTTGTTCCATAAGTCGTGCGTTAAAATCCCCCATAACAATGTTGATATCATGACGCTTCCACCCAGAAATTTGTTGAGTAAGAGAATCGTAATGCGTTGCTTTGTCTTGTTTTGTATGTCCTGCGTGTGGTGCATGCGTTGCCAATATGTTTATACGGATCGGTACAACTCTCTAGTGAGGCAATCAACCTAATCTCTTCGGCATTCGAAGCTGGGGGCCTTACGTGAGGGAACCCCTCCCATCTGAAGGTTTATCGGACTTCAGTGATTCGAACACTAAATCGGGAAAAACATCACACTCATCGTCTTCACAGTCCGCGTTGACATGATTCCGAATACTACAACACGTAGCCGTAGAGAATCCTACACATCCCCGATGAAATCCAAGCCCCTCCTAGACCAGGGACCACTCCACCCCAAACTCTCAACCGAACCCCTACATATAACCTTCGCCCCGATCGCCTCCACCACGTCTCCGAAGATATACCCGGAGGACACCCTGGCACATGGATCTAAGGCCTTTGGGGGTTTGAGCCCCGGAAATTCGGCTTTTCGGTCTTAAGGCTGAAGTTTACCAGCTGCAGACTGCTGGAGAGACCCCAGTGGCTAACAAACCTGGCACCCTGCAACCCCAGGACCTTAAACCCTACACCCCTAAGCGATAAACACTAAACCTCAAACGCTGCAACGCTCCGAACCCTTCAGCTCAGACCATCCCTTGCGAAAGCTGATTGCGTGGGTGTTGATGGCACGAGCTACCTTTACAGGGGTTTTCCAGGGTTTCGTCTTATTTTCCTTGCGGCTGAGGGAGGTTGCAGAGAAGCCTATCCAAACAGACTGGTGCTGAACTCTGGATCAAGAAAGCCTAAATGAGGCTGGAACATGCTGAAACCATGAAACCTTGGTAGCGCAAAGAAACCTGGGTAAATAACTGACATCTTATCGAACACTTCGAAATGGCACAAAATCCTCAGCAAGAACCTCAGGGTATTGTTGTTGTCCGGCTCTGGCTGTCTAGTGGTGTTTGATCATGCTAGTATCGGTCCTGTACGATGTTGCTGTCGTGAATACTCAGTTGTACTGCTGGTGCACATTCTCATTGTGGTGCGCTGTTGCTTCTTTTGCTACTCAACGAGCCACTCAACGACCTAGCACTTGCCATGTTCTTGTCACTGTTACCTTCATTGCGTATGTGTGGTAAGTGTCCCTGTGTGATTATTTCTCTTCTTCTTGCAGCTTTCGCGGTTCTTGTCGTTGGCAGTTCTTGTCATTAGAGCCCCTGGTTATCAGCATCGTGAAAGCCGTCAACAATCTGGTTGCTTCCGCTGTTTCCGTCATCTTTCATGCTCAAGGCATTGTTGCTATATCCTGAACACTACCTATCCCATCCCATCGGCATCATCTCTTACTACCTCTTCAGCTTATCAAGACAAACGAGACGTATTTCGAGCTACAGAGCCGCCGACAGCCCGCCCAATGGGTGTCGGGGACACCGAAGAAGTGCGGCCAAGACCGCGGCGCGCAAGGCGAAGAGACGCATTGGGAGCTTCCCCCTTGCCGCAAGGCTCAGGTCCCGGGAGGGTCTTGCTTGGAGATGGCTTGGGGCCTGAGGGAGTTGCGGTTGAATTTCTATACTTGCAACCCAACATGAGCTATTCACTGGGGGGTTATGATTATGCGTTGTACGTTGCATCTCATCCTCCCTCACATTTCTACGACAGGGCTTGGGCTCGGGGGGATTCCTGGATATCCGGGCCTTCCTGCAGCGTCAGGAGCTGCCTGTGGAGATTCGGCGATCTCAGGCACTCTACTCAGACCCTGAAATGCTCTGAACATACAGGTGGCCAAGATGTACCCTCACGGGAGTTGCATTGAAACTTTGCCTACGATCTGTGCCGCGTGCAGTATCATCTCCTCCCCCTGCTCGCATGCTCGTTCTGATGATGCTCGCAACCCACTACTGGTAAGCCAGGGCAGGACAACGCCTTGAGCCGAAAGCGCAAGCGAGGGAAGGGGAATAGATCCAAGCTACCCCACATCCATTCACATCCCAACACAGACCATTTCCGCTGCAACGTGCCTAGCCCTGGATCCTAGGAATGAAGCCCTCATTGGCTGGACCAACCCGCCGACATGTGGTGCAGCCTTTGCCAACCAGAACTCGCGTCAGCAGCGTTCTGTGCACAGGAATCAAAAGCAGTAGCAAGAAAATCACCATGGCAAGGGTGATCGTCATCGTCGTCGTCACCATCTTCATTATCAGCAGCAGCACCAACAACACCCGTTGCCGTAATTATCATAGCCACCCTGATCTTCATCATCACTAAGACTACGACCCGCATCTCACCAGCACTCCTCGTGAGCAGGATCACCATCATCACCAGCGTCCCCATGCCACAACCATCATGGTATTGTCCAGATGGCGATGGTGGTGGTCGTGAAGATGGTTGACGGCGACCATAAAACCTGAAAAGCCAAAGGAGCAGAATCGTAGAGGAAGTTGCTCTTGACAACGACGGGATGCACGGACCTTCGAGGCGAATTTGAGCAGTACTTAGTTTCGCTTGTGGTTTACTAGTCTTCGGCGGAGTTCTGATCTGCAGGTGGTTCCTGGCATTGACATGCGGTCTTGTGAGTACTGCTGAGCATCGCCAGCATCGCCCTCGTCACCAAGCACAGAAAGACTAAGAGCGAGGAGGAGGAGGAGGAGGAGGAGGTGGAGGTGCGGGGGGCGGAGTAGGAAGGCCAAGAGGCCCAACAAAAGAAGTTGAGGAGGACGAAAACGAGAATGAGGTCGTGGGGGGACGGCATGTGAGGGCGATGGTCGGAGGTGGTCTTGGTGATGGCGATAGCGATGGTGCGGGTGCCATAGTGGTACTGGTTGTGCTTGGCAGTGATCGGAGCAGGAGCGTAGAGACTTTACAACGAGCACCGACCCTACAAAGCTTTCAGTCTTCTTCACGCCCAGCGGCTTTACAGTGGGTGGCGTTGGCATGGGCCGCCGGGTAGGTAGAGGAGGCATGGTCCTCATTTTCTTTGGCTTCGGGGCTCCAGGGGTTTTGATAACATGGGCATCCCTTTCTCGTGCTGTGGGCATTCGAGACCCGCCGAGGAGGGGACGCAGTCGGAGCTTCGGGCTCCTCCTGGGAGGTTCAGGGTTAGGGGTTCAGGCTTCAGGGTTTGGGTCTTGAGGGCTTAGGCCTTAGGGTTCACGGTTTCAGGCTTAGGTACTACGGCTTTTAGTACGTCTACACAGTCTTTAGGGGCTTAGTGGTGGAGGCTTCGATCTTATCCCGCCCCGACCTCTTGATGCTGTTCCGAGCTGTCGTGGCTGTGGTCCGCCTCCTCAGGCTCCTCCGAGGTGTGGGGGCTTTTGCTTTAAGGGCCGGGGGCTGCCGGGTTTTGAAGGGGGGAGAGGGAGTAGGGCTTGGGGCTCTTAGGGCATTTTTCAGGGCTTTTTTGGGTTGCTTTTCTGTCCTCCTGGGGAGTCTCCTCCTCGGAGTCCTCCTCGGAATCTTCATCGTCCTGATCTACGGGATCGTCTTCATCCGGCAGGTCCTGTCGCTGCCAAAGCTCAGGAATCCAACTCCAAGGGTAGCAGAACCTGAACACATTAGGTTTCACTTTATTAATATTGTTATTGTTATTAGTATTATTTGGTTATGGCCTGGAGCTCTGAAAAAGCGGCAGAGGGGCTCGGCGCCCCTCAAAACGGAACTAAAGCCAAAGAGAGAGCTGCTTCGCAATTCCTGGCGTCTCCACCGGCAAACGCTGAGAAAAACGACTCCCGCTAGAAACCCATTGGCCGTTTTTTGGGCCAAGACGAGTCGCTCCCATGCCCGGTAGGCCGGGTATGACCAGGTCCGGAGCGGCCGTGTGTTCGCCAATCCTCCTGCCAGCCCAGAGAACCCTATATTTTAAGGTATATTCCTTAATTAAGGGGTATTGGGTTCTCTGGGAGATTGCTCTTGAAACTTCGTACCGGCCATGCATTTAAGGCCAAGAAGGTCCGAAGCTGTAGATCCACCATGCATGGCCCCAGAGTCTTATCCCCTAAACCCGTATACTCTAAAGCCCTAACCCCAAGAAGCCCGTATACTGACCCCTGCAACTTTAAAGCCGGAATTAATTTCATCGTACATAAACCCTTCTAGAAGGTGCATGGGACCCATGTGGAGAGTACTCTGTTCGAGCCCAAACCCCGAACTGTGGCTAACTTCCTCGACGCAGCTCGCCGCTGCAGGGCATTCAGAGAACACTCGGCATCTTGGAAGCACTCGCTGTCCTCTTCGGGGGGGGTTTCAATAGGGCTTCAAATGGGGGATGGTGCTGGGTTCACGACTGGAGGGTTTAGGATAAATGGCTTGGTGCAGGGACGTAGGTCTTGGGTAGAGATTTGAGGGTGTTGGGATTAGGGTCTGAGGATTTGGGCTTCAGGGCTTTAGTCCTTGAAAGTTGAAGGGGCTTTGGGGTCTGAGGGTTCAGAGTTTAGGGTTCAACGGGTTCGCTCTTCCGATTCTGCTGCTTGTCTGTCATACGCCCCTTGGGCTAGCAGTCTTACCTGAATGCCAGCTCAAAACATCGCGCAACTTGCACCTACCTTACCTGGGATTGAGGGGCAGAGCCTCCCTCCCTGTGTGTTTTGCCCAGGAGCTTGAGAGTGCAGAGACGGACAGACAACCGAAACCTTCAACCCCACTGAAGTACAAGTGTAGACCTTGTGCAACCATGTGGCTACAAAGAATCCCATCTACAGACCTCTTGAAATGATGCATTGAACAACCAACATCACAAAAGACTAGACCCCAAAACCCACAAACCCGAACCTTATGCGAGTGCACTTCCCAAAAATCTACACTCCATCATCAACAGCTTCAAACCCCGATTCGCACAGCGCCACCCTGCCAAAACCGCCAACTATGAAGCCCTAAACCCTAAGCCCCAAACCCTAAGAGCTCCCCAAACCCTGAACCCTAAGAGCTCCCCTCAGCCCTAAACCCTGAGCCCTCAGCCCTAAACCCTAAATCGCCTGGGCCAAGAGGTTGTCAAGAGCCGCGGCACGCGCCGCGAGAGCGGCGAGAATACATCGGAAGGCCTGGGCTGGACTGCCAGCGATGGATTTTAAGAGCCTGATTACTTAGGACAGGATTCCCCTAAAGGGCTCTTCTAAGGGTTTGTTTGTTTTGGGATCTTTAAGGTTATACTATTAGGTCTAAGTTTCAAGGGTCGTGGGCTTAAGGCTTAGGGGTTTAGGCTTCAGGGTGTGGGTTTAGGATTTTAAGTTCAGGGCTTCAGCTTCTTGAGTCTAGCACTTGCACTGGCATCAACACCAACACTGAAACCACCACAAAAGCAACGGCCACTAACAATATCACCACCACGACTGCTGAACTTTTTCATCGGCGATCTTTGCCATGATGCATCTAACTCTAACTTCAACTCTGGCTTGTTGTTCCCCAAAACCCTCAACCCTAAACCCTAAACCCTATTTTCCAAAATTGTTATCAGAACTGAACGTGTGGATTTACGACAACCAATACCGCCAGTCTCAACCTCTTTGAGACTGCTTACCTACTTAGGGTTTAGGGTTTAGGGTTTATGTTGCTGCTGAGGCGGTGAATCGCCGACTTCCTGCGATCACTCAGCTGCAGAAACACGCGATGGATGGCACATTCATCTTCATTGGAGCTTTGGATGTAGGGCTGGCGAAGCCTACAGTATCAGTATCAGTCTTAGTGGAAAACAGTTGCAGTCCAAGCCACCATTGCGGAGAGCGCTGTCAACAGAGACAATAGACGAAAGGCTTGAGGCAAGAATCGCACGTGTATTCAAAACAGATGCATCACACGCAGAACCGACAAAATCCATCATGCATTGCTAACGTCTGAGACAGGAGCGCATCCGGCTGGACCTGGCTTAGCAAGCTTAGCTTGCGTGATGCATGTGAACCCGAAGAACCCGAAGTAATTGGATCCTGATGATAAGGGCGCCTTGTATAAAAACACCCCTAAGTAACCCCGATGCCGCTGTTGGAAGGTGAGCCGGCCTTCTTCTCGGCCATGTATGCCATCCAGGAGCGGGCATCTTCTGGGCGTCCCCCCGTGGCACAGACCTCGCACTGGAAACTGAAGCCCAATGCCCTCAAGTCCTGGAAGCTTCAGACTCCAGCCCTGAAGACCAGAGCGGACGGTGCCTAAGCTTGGACCAGATCCTCCTTGAAAGTCCACTTTACGGGGCTGGGATGCAGTCGGGACTCCTCCAGGGTTCAGGTGTAGGGTCCCGGCCACCCTCAGCAAAACCCACACTGAGAGAACCCAAGTTCCCTGCCACGCTACCCTTTCCCGCCTTCAGGGGTCCCTTGTAGGCCGCCGGATGGAGAACAACGCCTTCCACGCCCGACGGACAACAGCCAGGATTCGTTGCAACCGCCATCATACGCGGCGTGCTTAAACGCTCAGAATCATAAAGAGCATCATCATCATCATCATCATCATTATTGTTATCATCATCATCACCATCAGCATCATCATCGTCATCACGACATAGAGTTCAGTCGTTTCGGGGGGGTGAGTGAGCACCATCACCAACATTTAAAATTTAGACAATAAGTGTCATCACCAGCAGCAACAAAATTGAGGCAAAAGCATTACACCAGCACAAAACAAGAACAGCTTCACCTGTGACAAGCGCCAGATGAAAACTACTTCCTGCTGTGTGCATTGAAACTGCTGGGAAGCACGGAATGCTGCTCTGGCCTACTACTATCACAGCAAGCCCCACAAACGCACATGCAGCACAAGCTGAGGCCTTCTTCGAGCAACTGCTCAAAGGACTGCTTCACCGAGGACAGGTCAGCAGTGGTTGCAAAGTCTGACGCGATGTCCTCGAGTCTCTTGCCCACGGGCCTGGTCAGTCTACGTGGCTAAATCCTGGGAGTCAGGATTAGGGGGACCCTTGGGGATATAGACCCCCTCAATAAGGTCCCCTTTAAGAGAGCCACAAGGTCCCCTTTAAGAGAGCCACAAGTAGGGTTCAGAAGGGTCCCCCTTTAAGGGGTCTCCCTAATACTACCTAGGAAATCCCTCCCGACTTCTGCCGCTAAAAACGGGCATCATCGGGCCCCGGCCTGCTGTCTACAGCGGACGCAGCAACGGCTGCATGGCAAGTACGCCAGTCCCGCGTCCTGCACTGCTCAGCTTCATCGTGTCGAATGCAAGCAGGAACAATGGTTTTGAGTGGAGCAAGACCTTTGGTGAGCGGGGGCAGCTTGTGCCGGAGCCTCTTAGAGCTTCCCGCAGGCCCCAAGGAAGCTCGTGCAGATCGTGTTAAAGTCGTGTGAGCAGCTTGCATCTTGCAGGATAATACCAGTACCATACGCATCCAACCATATGACCGCTTGCTTTCCAGACGGCAGAGCGCTGCACAGGGAAAATCTCCGGCCTCTGCAAGCCACTCTCCAGGGCACCCTTGGAGGCTGGAGTACAAAAAGTCGTCCAACCAGATGGGCCTCAGCTGCTCAGTCAGCCAAAAAGGGGGCAGCTATGATGTGAGCTACCACGTGCAGGGCTGGTGGGACATGTGTCGGCTGTGCAGCACGTTACTGCACCTGTGATGTTTGAATTGCCGTGCATCTTCTTTCGATCTAGGCCGTGTTTTTCTTTCGAGGTCGTGTCCTTGATTTGTTTTCCTCACTCAAGAAGTGAATTTTGAAGTCACAGCCTTGGGGGCTAGAAACACAGGGCTTACATGTTGAGGGTACTGCATCATAGCGACAGAACGTTGCAGCACCATTAACTCCTTCCTGCCAGACGACCTATCCCTAACGGACGTCCTAATCTAGCACTCAACCCCTAAAGCTTGCGATCCAAAACCCTAGGCCTACAGCCTGCGACGCTTTGTACTAAATCCTGGACCATCATCCCCCAATCCGACGAACTGTCAAAGAAACCCTTACAGGAGCCCTTCAAGGGACCTTCCAGGGAATCCGTCCAGGAACCCTTAAAGGAACAGTTGAACGGGCAGGTCTTCGGACTCTCTCTGAGGAGCGCGCGGCCGGGAGGAGCTGACTGGTAGAGGAGGAGAAGGACGAGAAGCGTTGCTGAAGACGCCTTTGAGGTTTGCGGCTTTGGGGTTGAGGGCCTAGGGTCTAGGACTTTAGGGCGTTTAGGGGTTTTAGGGTTTCCGGATTTTAGGGCTAAGGCTGAGGGCTGTAAGAACCACAAATCAGCATCCCAGTGCGATTTCCTGAATCATGACTGAGGTCCGAACATTCGGTCGTCGCCGACATGGGTGGTGTTGGCTCATGACGCTGTCGGGTACGTAACTACTGTAACAACTGTAACACCTGGAGCTGTCGAATTGCCTTAGGTGCTGTTGCCTGGTGTAAGACTGGGGTCCAAGAGCGGCTTTTCTTCAGGACTGCCCTCTACACCCTTGCATACCACATGCATTGAGAAAAACTCCGCCTCAAGACCGGCATGCACTTCAACTCATGTCAACAAGTCTTCTTCCTGAATATGAAGCCTCTGCGACATGCCGTGCAGATGAATGCAAGTGCCCAGCAAGCAAACCCTCGCCCCCACGCTTCCATGAGCTCTGATGCTTCGAATCGGAGTGAGGCTTATCTTTTACTTCGTCCCGCCGAGGAGCCTTTGCTCCAGGAAAGCTCAACTCGATGTCACACCGACAGCTAGAAGAAAAGCTAAACCATCTAGGAAGGAACTACAATGGAGACTTTGGGTACTATCTACTTCATACAGTACCATCACTGTAGAAGTTGTAATCCGGAGCAGCTGAAAATCCTAAATCCTAAGCCGTGAGCCTGAGCCCTGGACTTAGGCCCTAAACCTAGCTGATCTCTTTAAGATGATTGGGATGTTGATGGGCAGCCTCCGAAGCCCGGCTTCCTCCGCGCTCGAGCCAGGTCCATTGCTGGGACGGTGGGGAAATCCGAAATCGCCCCACTCACATCGCATCTCCTGCCAGGAAGATGCAATGTGTGTTCCCTAGTCACTTGTTTGGAGCGGCCGGACATGGCCGGACGTCGGCTTGCGAGGCCTGCTACCGGTCGTGTGTTTTCTTTTTCTAAGCTCAAGGAGCTGAGTAGCGTGCCCGCTTGGCCTTTGGCTCCTCAGGCTCGAGCGAATCTGCGACATGCTGGAGGTAGTCAGCCTGAATGTGGCTCTCCGATCCGTCTGCATCCCAGACAATCTGGAACGACCCATCATCATGCGCCTCGATGATAGTAGCCGGCAAGTACTCCTCATCTTCAGGCCAGTATGCCTGCACCGTGTCTCCGACTTGGAAGTCTGCCGTCTCGTCTGTCGCCTCGAACTCCCCGGCCAGGGCTTCGTCCAACAACTCTTCGCCCACATCGCACTCAGCAGCTTCAGCCTCTTCAGCCTCTTCATCCTCATCAATTTCGACGAGAATTTCTTCTGGCTCGAGCGGTTCCTCCGTCGCTGTCGCATCTGCCGCGACTTGGGGCCATTCGCCGGTGACGTAGACAAGCCCCTCGCAGTACGCAGGCCTCATACCGCGCGCGGGCGCATCCAGAGTGAACGGCTCGGACTCGCCGCCGGCATCGCGCAGCAACGTCACGTCAGGGCTGAACTCCAGCTCGGGCAGGAGCTCGCTAGCGCAGCGCTCCGCGACCTCGGCATCCACCTCGCAGAGAGGGACCACATCGATGTCACTTCCTCCCTGCTTGATCTTCTCCATCTCTTGCTGAGCAGCAGTCAACTCTGCCTTTACACTTCGGTCGTCCAAGCCCTGTGCCCGGAGGCTCATCATCTCTTGCTGGAGCCAAGCAGTCTTCTGCTTGCAGTCTTTCAAAACCTCACATCGCTCGATGGCATTCACCGAGCCCAAGAGAGGGTGCTCCACCCCGAACATGGGCTCCAGCATCGGGGCAGCAGGGCACAGGTACTGCTCTGCGTTCTGCACCGGAAGGATGCAGATGGCGCAGGAGATCGGCCGCATGGGCTGGCACTCCGACCTCGGAGGAGCCAAGGGTGCCTCCGGCTGCAGCGACGGGAGGAACTGCGTGATCAGCCGCGCGCTTGCAAAGCTGTGCAAGCTCTTCTCCAGCACGAAGTAGAAGTCGCCGCAATAGCCATGGTGGTACATCTCCAGAATCCACAGCAACCCCTCCAAATATCTTCGCACACCCTCCGATGCTCTGCCAGCAAGTTTGGATGGTGCTACCGATCCCCCTGCTGCAACAGTCATGAACTTGGACAAGAAGGACAAGTTGAAGGAGAAATGCTCATAAGGCTCAACGGCAAATGCAGCGCCACTTTCCCCCACTGCGAGCGCCCAGCCGCCCTCCCGGTGCGAGAGCGGCAGACCTTCCTCCGAGGGCGAGCTTTGCAGAAGCGACGTTGAAGGGAACTTCTTACGCCTCAGAGTCAAATACTGCTCCCACAGCTGCTGGGGATTTAGGCTGCACTTCAGTTCCGGCAAGTAGTCGTTCCCAGCCAACAAGGACACCAGAGCAAAATCGCGGCGCAAAGTTGCTTCCTCTGGTGAAGTGCGAGGCACGCCTGGTCGCGACAGCTCTGCCTGTATGTACCTGGCAAGCACCTCTGCATTCCAGATCTGCAGCGTGCCCCTTCGCCTCTTGCCGCCCTCACTCGCGTCCGGCCGGTCGGAGACAACCCGCACTTGTCGGCACGCGCTTTGCACCAGCGAGAGCAAGAAGATGTCCGCGTCACCGCTCGAGATGACATGAGACTCCCCGGCAGCAGTGCCCGCGTTGCGCAACATCTGGGAAACAATCTTGTGCTCACCCTCGCCGATTGCTTGCGCTCCACTCACGGTGACCGCCTCACAGCTGGCAAAGCACCCATTACTGGCCATCCGGCTCGCTGCATAATACTCAAGGGCGCTGGTCAGTTTCGTCATGAAAGGCACACCTGGTGTTAGCATGTTGTTCGACAGCTGCTCGGATGACATGCCACGACCGCCATCCCACTTTCCTCGCTTCCCTCTGCCACCTTTACCTCTGCCTGTCCCTTTCGAGCTCCTGGCATCTTTCTGAGCATGAGCCCTGCGGCGTTGACGCTGGGTCAAACACTTCGCACAGGATGCGGGTCCGTCTACTGCCAGGAAGACACTCTTCCACGGCACTACAATTCGGAAGAGGGCGTCGAGCTTGCGAAAAAGATGCTGATAGAAGCCCTCCTCGCTTGAAGCATGGCGCATGCAATCGTGGAGCAACGTGTTGATGTCCACGTACACGTGATCGGCACTCTCTTCGCTTGCCTCTGCAAACGCATCGGGGTACCGCTGCGTGAGCCACTTGTGGTACTTGGGGATGCCCATGTGCTTGGACGGATGCTGCAGCCGCACTTGCAGGGATCATTCGAATCCGTGCCGCTGTCCAAAACGTGCATGTAGCCGTACGAGTGCTGGCGTGAAAGTATGCTGTCTGTCTTGTGGTGCCTCTTGTGATGCAGGAGTACGACAAGGAGCTCGAAACTGTGTGTATGCAGATCAAAAATTGCCGAGATCGCCCCTACCAGCACCCCTGTCGAGGCAGAACAGGTCGGAGAGTCGAAAGACACGAAAGACGCCTGAAGACATCTTAAGACTCGTTCACCGCGCGTACTGACTCGGCAACCTGGCAACGCGGACCTCTGGCGTGCGCAAAGCCGTCTAGGGCTCTGGACGCTAAGTGGGCTCATGTGCAGATAAAACAAACAGCACAACAGCTGATGCTCTAGAATCTAGACTCCTACATGCACTCCCAGAAAAGGCACGCTCTGGGGCCGTATGGTTAAGCCTGCCATGAACACTAGGCTGGACCCGGAGCCTCATCCCCTAAATCCCAAACCGGGTTTTCAAGCTCAAACGAACCTTCTGAAGCATCGACTTTGGAATTGGTAGAGTTCGGGGCGTCGAGATTTCTGGCTGGAATGTCGGGATTCGCATCTCGAACGACAAAGCACATAGCATCTTGCAGCGCCGCATGTCAAGAACGACCAATCAATAGCAAACGTGGGGATTCTGGCTACTTCTCAAGAAGTTTACTGCAACGGCTTTGGTTAACATAAGAAGAATACCGACAGTTAGCGCTGTGGCTGGGTGGCCAATGCCGGGGATGTTCGATGCTTATCTCCACTCTCTTCGCTGGGGACCCCGCTCGAATGCCACGGTACTTATTCTCGGTGCGAAGCTGCGCGGTTTGAGGGAGGTGGTAGAACAGAAATGACAAAGCATCGGAAAAGGTTTCAAACTTGCACCTCCTGGGCCGAAACCATGGCCACGCCATGGTTGGCAAGCAATAGCGCCACCGACCTACCTACCCACCTACCTACCTACCTACCTACCTACCGACCTGCCTATCTACCTACCTACCTGCCTACCGACCCAACCTGCCTACATGCCTCCTTCCTACCTCTCCCTGCCTACTTGTACCCATCTGCCTACGTACGTGCGTACATACTGAATCATACTGACATCGATCATGAATACATACGATGCATGTGATCTCAGTTGGTACATACCTGTAGCAGTTGGAAACTGCAGTTTGCCCAGACGAGTCGGCAGTACAGAAAAGCGGCAACATTGGGAAGAACAACTCACTTGTATGTGCTGCACTGCGCTGCCGAGAACCGCAAATGCACCCAACAAAATCTACCGTCCCGGCTCACGTCTGCCGCCCAAAGCTGAATTCGCCTTGTTGCACCCAAGGCACGAGCGTCGCCCATCCTAGCGGTCCTAGGATTCCGACCCCACCTGCGCGACATCTATAGAATCATGTAGTATATTGCCGGTATTGCACAAACAAAGCAGTCACGTGAGAAGAAGAAAGAGCCCAAAACAAGGAAAGGAAGCAGCTCAAGCAGCTTGGAAGAACCGAGGGGAAGCTCTGCCTGGGACCTAACGAGGGAGCGGCTCTCAGGTGTCTCAAGGGCTCAGATCAAAAGCCACCAAGGGCCGTTTCTCTGTCGTGCACCCCATCGCATCCTGCCGCACTGGTCGGGTTACGGAGCGAACCTGCACCAGAAACAAAATGCTTATCCGAGTTCGTGTACTGTGCACAACTGCAGGTTCATCCTGGTGGATGCGGATTGCATCCGGTGACACTGGCCGAAGCTGTTCCCTACACAAGCATCTGGCACGGGAGCCAGAAGAGGTTGTCATTTACCGCACCTTTGCATTCCTAGTAGAACTTCCGAAAGCCACGACAACCTCTTCCTTGCCACGCTTGAGGCGATGGTCAGGGCCGAATTTGAGCCCTATCCCTGCATGCCGCCATCGCTCTTCATGGACTTCCCGGCTCGGATGACCTTGGGCGAAAGGCTTGCACGGCAGCCACAACCACGAGAGAGACGCCTGGTGACAATTGCTCCAACACTTTACCCTGAAGTCCAGTCAGCTCTGATCTCGAAGCTGCGCAGAAGCCGCCAGGCCTCGTCCACGAGCAGCAACTGTTCAGCCAGCACTGGCGCCTCGGGGTACGGCTCTGCCAATTGGAGCCCGAAAGAAAGGACGTTGAACAGTTGGAACTGCTTTTCGGCAGACAGAAATGCTCAGTCTTGTAAACGAGCTTTCAGCTGGATTCTTACATCGGGGCCGTCACAGGCCATGGATTTGGGGGGCCGGGGGGGGGGGGCGAATCAGAGCTGTATCTGTATGTACTGTATGTTTACGCATGTACACACAGAGTTGACGAACTAGAATCAGAAACCCTTGTATTACATGATTGTTTGCATAAAGTATTGGGATACTGGGCTCAACTTGCATCTGCCTTGATTGCCAAACGTGTCAGAGCCTGCAGTAACAAGCGTTCCTGGGCGTGCTTGTACCGGGGAGTCGTCGTACCAGTGGTGCTCTTCTTGGTGGTGGTGGTGGTGGTG